GAATGCTTGCATTTTACGTGGCGAAGCACACCCCTTGGCGGCACCGCTTGGACCAGGGCATACAGCGCCTCGTCCAGTCCGGACTCGTCAATAAGTGGTATAGGGACATATTGGAAGACGGACTCACGCACGGACTGAAACCCTCGAAGGGAACCGTCCGAGAGAAGGCCCTCACGCTCTCCAACCTGCAAGGACCCTTCCTCTTGGTGGGGTTTGGCTTCCTGGTTGCATCTCTCGTCTTTTTGGGCGAGTTTGTGGTTCAGAAGCCCAACCAATCCCTAGTGAGGAACCAGTAGCAATACAATCAAGTTACTAAATCCCGGCTTGCAGCCTATATTATGTGCAGTCTTTTAAAGAAAGACTATAACAATGAGGTAGGATGGAGTCACACTATATTATTCATAGCAAAATAATGTCGTCTAGATGATAATAGTGAATCACACTGATGAGGAGCAAGAATGACGATGATAATGACGCTGACAGATACATTATAAATTAACATAAAAACAGACTCTCATTATATAACACGTCCTTGAAAAAAAGTAATGTGAACAGGACATACAGTACAGGTAGTAGGGGCATACAGCACAGGGGTAATAGAGATATTAATTTACCTCATAAGTATCTAAGTTTTTCGAAAGTTGACAGTCTATTTGAGCAATCACTTCTGATAAGATTAACCTCTGAGTTAAACAAATCTGTTATTATTCAAAATATATATATTTTTATTTTTCCAACATAAGCATTCCTATTAAGTAGTACAATACTTCGAATAATGTGAAGTCTACTGACTACAAGATAATTGTTTTTACTCATTATATATAATAAACCCATATTATCTTCAGTTAGAATGTATTAAAATAACAGTTTAGTCTCTAAACTGCGCCGATGCACATGACTTAACATAGTTAAAAAATCAAATGGGGAAAATAATTCCTCTGATACGTTTGAAACGGTGTTAAATTAGGTTAAATTAGCAAAATCATCAATATCCTCAATACTACAATATTGAAATTGAAATAAGTTTATTTAGGTAAAATACACACAAAGGGATGAGGTAGCTCAAACTATTCTCACCCCGTTCAGTACATCGTGTTAATACATACATAGACACACATCACAAGCAATAAACATATTACCAAACATTCTGAGAGATAAACATATACAATTTGTATCACCTAACAGTTAATAAGTAACAAGGAGTTAGTCAGCTTGTTAAATTAATTATTTGGGTTGCATCGCTGGGAAGGAGAAGTATTACTGTTCTAGGGGCGTACATATATATAACCCTAACATACGTATGTGTATATACATTCATGTACATATATACATGCACTGGCTGCCTGTCCTCCGACACAATGAATGGAATTTCAGTGTATCAACGATAAGTATCAATGTTGAAATGTAAGATCAATTTAAAATATATTAAGAAAGTTTTATGATTACTGCATTTTTTAGCAATGCCGTCCTTACAACACTTTCTGAGTCTGGTTCAAAACTGAATGGCCTTTGAAAATTCAGAAGCCAAATTGATCAATGTGGCCCAATCTGTATGACAAAATTTAAAACGAAAAAGTTGCAAAGTGTTTTATTTCCGTTGAGCTAAAAATTTACTAAAAACCACTATACTCTTCCTGATACTTTTTCTGTTGTTAATTTTTATTAAATATTTATATTAAGGTCACTTATGTTGGTGTAAACTTACTGGAGACTGTTACAAGGATATCATGGTTTACCTTCATGATAAATGCCACTTCAATAGAGTATTAAAGACAAAAAATGGTGTACTGAAACACCTAGCTATAAGGGTATACTTTAATAAATAACATTTTAATAAAATCTTTTTCGAAGCCAGATCTTCAATCAAGTTTACTTCTTAACTGTACGGTATTACTCAACAAACACGGTGAGGGATCAATACAAGTAGTCCACTTAGACTATAAACTAATTTGTTATGAAGATCAATATTAGCATTGTTGTTGTTTTTACATTCAGCTAAACGGAACAAAAAGTTACAAGTAACACGGTCCGTGCTCGTAGGGACCTTAGATAATGTTGTTGTTGTTTAAGATTCGCTACCTGGAACAAAAAGTTCCAAGTAGCACTGGCTGTGGTGAGCCCGTAGTGGACTAATAACTTAGATAAGCTGTCACATTCAATTTATAATCTTTCTACTGATGACGTAATGACACCTCTTCTTTCATTCGATGAATAAACTTAATGTAATCTTAGATCGCGAGACTTCATAACACGAAAATAAATATATTTATGTTACCGAGACTTGAGACCTTTAGATATAGCATTCCACGAAAAAAATAAAAACATTTCTACATCAGTGTACATAACACCAACGTTCACAGCCTATTTATTTATTTATATACAAGAAGGTACATTGGGTTTATGAGAGTACATAGCATGGATGTTTTTACATTTTTTGTAAAGCCACTAACACGTTTAGCGTTTCGGGGCTACGCATAGCTACATCCACAATCTGAAGCAATCTTTAATAATTAAGGTTAACATAATTTACTCTTTATTGAGAAGAGTATTTGAAGCATTGTATACAGAAACTTGTGAAAGGACGCAGGTTAGATCCGAAAATCTGTTTTTTAATACACTTTCATATATATATTGGGTCTTCTCTTCACCTTCCTTGAAGCACTAAGGCATTGTAGTAAGTTTCTCCAAGAGTATTCAAGTTATATAAGAACGCAATTATTTTCTCATGAACTGAAGTGTCTTAGAAAAATATATTTAGGAAATAAAGGCTGTTATATGGAAGTTATTGAAAACAATATTATAAAATACTTAAATTGTTGTATTTATTGTTCCAATGATCATACATTGCTATTTATAACTTTCCTGTAACCAGCTAGTTATACTCGGAATACAAAACTTAAACATCTTATCAAAGTCAGCTACTTTACTCCTGATTAGGATAAATAATGGCATATTTATTACTTAATAATAATAAATCATAAGTAATTTTTAATGAAGATAAAATCCCAACTCTGTATTCATTTGTATTGTATAAATATACTTATAGCATCTGTATTGTTTTTTCGCATTGAAATAGACCTTCGGAAATTTTTCATTTTTAAAAGATTCGAACAAAGAAGTTTCATTTCAGAAATGGTAGACATTAAAAAAACTTCTCAATACGTGTTCAATCGAGCGATTGATAAAAAATAATAATAATAATAATTTTATTTACAAAAGGTACAATGGGTTGGTGACATTACATATGATTAGTATTTGTACATTCTTGTAAAGCCACTAACACGCATAGCGTTTCGAACAGGTCCTTAATCTAATATATCAGGTAAGATGAAAATGTAAATTGTAGTAAAATATTATATCAACATATAACTACTATATAAATTGTCAGAAATAATTACACTGGTGAAGATATATATCATGAGTACTAATATTGGGGTAGCACAAGACGCAGTGTAAGTTTGAAACATAAAACATCAACAACACATTTGTAAATATTGTAGACGTGAACTTCACATTAGTTCATGTAATTTTGAAAACATATGCATCTGGGAAAATAAAACAACTAATTAATGATTATCACCCGTCTTTTGACACTGAACTATAAAATTAAATTGTATGCCACTTAAGATTTCCCATTTTCGGAAATAATGTAAACTCGGGAGTAGAAGCGACCGTAAACACCTCTGTGGCTCCGGTTTAACTCTGACAATGTGGACGTGCAGACATCAGGAGGAAGAAACATTCGCGCTAACGGCACTTATTATACAGAAGACACTGCGGACACCTGGCTTCTGCTTAGGCTAGTGATCGCCTGAAAATATGTTGCAGTAATACGACGCCTGAGACATATATCTGGCGTGTTCTGGCTCGATATTTTGGCATCAAGCAGTGGATCTGAAGGGAAGTCCTGTGTTCTCTGTGGATGTGAAGGGCATATGGTTCTTGTTCCGCCAGGGGTAACTACCCCTTGTGTGGGGGGGTATATGCCCAGCGCCTGCCCTGCTGTGGGGGTATATGCCCAGCGCCTGCCCTGCTGTGGGGGTATATGCCCAGCGCCTGCCCTGCTGTGGGGGTATATGCCCAGCGCCTACCCTGCTGTGGGGGTATATGCCCAGCGCCTGCCCTGCTGTGGGGGTATATGCCCAGCGCCTGCCCTGCTGTGGGGGTATATGCCCAGCGCCTGCCCTGCTGTGGGGGTATATGGCCAGCGCCTGCCCTGCTGTGAATGTTGAGGTCTCGCAGACGGCCAGTTCCGTCGACGTACTTAACAACACCACTGTGATGAAGGTCAGTTTTAGTGTTTTTAAGCACAATTTATTCTCCTTATCTCCTGTTTCTAATCTATTGCATGTTAAATAATCTTGTAACATAAGAAGTGTTTTAGATATATACTTGGTGGCTATACTAGCTTTCTGTTATTTTTAGTGTTAATTGGTAATGGGGAAAGTATGTACCCAGAAGCGTCAAATCACGAGTAAATAAGCATATAATTGAATATTACTGAAAGGGTTAGATCAATTATTCTAGCACGAATCTACTCCATATTTCTTATAGTCTTTATTTGGAAAGAAAACAAAATTTTTCCCAGAATTTATTTTGAATTGTTTTTCAACAGAAGCATAAATTCCATTTAGGACTCTGTACTGATAACAAATTTGTTGATGAGGTGGTACTTATTGTATGATGATTTTGATGACGCTGGTGTTGATGTGGTGTAGGGGGGGGGTAATACTGGCGATACAGGTGTTAATGGGTCGGTGTTAGCCGCAGGTGTTGACAGACATCAGTGCTAATATGACTATGCTGCTGCTTTGCCAGTGGTAGCTTCCAGGTGTAACAAATGGTGTTTTTTGTGTGTTTGCTTGTGTGTGGTAGAACCAGTGTGTGTTGCTTGTGTGTGGTAGAACCAGTGTTGCTGGTATGATTGAACCAGTGTATTATATAATATATTCAAAATTCAGCAAACATTTCAATATTTTGGGGTTAGATAAACATCCACAACATGTTCGAATATTTATTACTAAATATAAAAACGTTATAGACCTTAGCACAAAGATCACAGAGTAGACGAGGAGTTTACAGAGTAGATGGGGAGAGTAAATTATTTGTGAAAAATTCGATAAACAATAATTTATACATTTATTTAAAGATTTGAACAGTATAATAACATGACAGCATACAATTACATCTCACAATTGTATGTTAATTGATTTTGTATATGTGTCTTACAAGAGTATTGGCTCGTCACACGCGTACATGACACAAGACATGACACAAGTGCACTTGACACAAGACATGACACAAGAGGACTTGACACAAGACAAGGCATCATATTCTCATATTTACCCTTTGCATCCAACAATTCGATTACATCAACATGTATACAAATTTAAAACTCTTGTCCTATTTCACTTTCCCAGGCAATAATGTAAACTGAAACTCCCTTCATTGGATTATAAAGTACAATGCACACTGTAGCTGGGAGTTTCCAAAGTATATTTCCCATAAAGAATTTAACAAAATACTTCCAGTTTGTTTTCCAATATATACTTGGAGGTTTAAATATAATTTTTTTGAAAATAACATAAATTAAGTTATAATTAACTAGAGTTGTCAGTATTGTAACATATATATAAATTATTTCGTCATTTTTTCATTGTAAGCTGAAAGAGTTATTCTGAATTTTTAATGTATACTGAGAATATTCGTTAGTCCTGAACTTATTTCAGAATTAAAGTATTGCTGCTGGTTGGTCAGTAAAATCTTGTTGCCTTAGTAACCTTCCAGAGGTTGATAGGCCTTAAGCCCAACAACAAACCAATTAAAATGTTATTAAGAGTGACTAACCATAGCATGTAAGCATGGTTGCTAACATTACTCTGTGAGCATTGTTACTTATAATCCTCTGTGAGCATTGTTACTTATAATCCTCTGTGAGCATTGTTATTTGCAATCCTCTGTGGGAACAACGTACTCCCTGTGGTATTGCTCAGTGCTGAAAAATCATTTATGAAGCTTTAATGAAAGTTGCTGATATACGGCACTTTGTACTTCCGCCAGATTATTGTAAACAAAACAAAAAACACCTCACAGACAAGAACACAAATAGGGCGTCTATCCTCTTTGCCTGTGATGTAAGGGCGTTCCTCGCCCATTATTGCAAGGTGTTCCCTTACTCACTGGCTTAAGCATATCCCTTATGGAGGGGATTCGTTGAATTTTGGAGGCAAATCATATGTTTACATATGATTTCAAGGCCTCTTTGCCTGTGATATAAGGGCGTTCCTCGCCCATTATTGCAAGGTATTCCCTTACTCACTGGCTTAAGCATATCCCTTATGGACGGGATTCGTTGAATTTTGGAGGCAAATCATATGTTTACATACATACAGAACTACGCTGGTGAAACACTCGCAATTGGTTAGCACACAGACATTGGCTGAGGCGGAACATATGGGACGGCTTACTAACGTTAACACAATTCACAAGTAAATTCATGCATATACATGTACTTTATATTATGTATACAGGTTATGTATACAACGTAGATAATTGATAACCTAATTGAGTCTAGGCACATATATAACAACCATATATACATAAATATATGTAATAGGTTAATGCTAAGAGTTAAAAAAAATGGCTAATCTATTTATTTACATAAGTTATTCCTTTTTGGATGAGAGTGGGTAGAGGAAGAAAACGGTATGAAACTAGCGGTAACTTAAAGATATGATTAGGTTGCAGTTGCTTCATCTGATACAAGGTGCTAACTGGTGTGTAGGGTGAGCAAGCTTTTCTCGGGTACACGTGGGGCACACCTAAAAGGCAACAGAGAATGGCACATCTCAACCAAGACTGATTGAGGAGCATCATAGTCAGGAATGGGGAGTTTAGAAGAAGGTAAAGAATAAGAATGCTATGCTAGCCGGGCCTACCGGTGTTCTCCATGGTCACTTTCCGGGGGATAGCCAAGGTAGTAAGGAGTGTTTGGGTAGTAGCCACGCCCGCTGGTGGCACCAAGAGTGCCGTAGGGAGGAGGTATGGGCGTGGTGGGCGGGGGCAACATCTTGAGTGTCCCTGCACGGGAGGATGGTGGTGGAGGCAGTGTTGGGTACGCTCCAGGGTAGCCTCCCCAGGTGCCCGGGGGAGGTGGTGGCTTTAGACAGGTGCAGTTGCCATGATTTCTCATGGCCAAGGGTCCCGCCAGAGGGCCTCCGCGGTACTGGGAGTCAGAGCGGAGACGGATTAGGCAGATAATTATGATCAGTAATGCAACGAAGGCCACCACACCACCCACGATGCCGATGATAATGTTATCCATGTTGGTGAGACCGTTAGTTGCAGGAGAAGGAGAGCTGGCGCCATCGAGTTCATTCAGTTCATCACTGGGTCGTCCGGTCATGTCGTCGAACGTGATTATGTTGTCTGTTGTTGTTGGTCGACGCTTGGTTGTGGTGAAGAGAGGAGGGTCTGTGGTGGTGGTGGTGGGGCGCCCCTCACACGTCAGCTCAGCTTCACTCAATGTGGTGAGCACCACACCCTTTAGATTGGCTGGTGCACTACATGTCACGTTGTAGAGGCTGTCTCGGGGTCCATGTCCCACCAGCCACCGTCGGAGAGTTCTGATGTTGCAGTCACAGAAGAGAGGGTTGGAACCCAGGCCAGTGAGACGGAGGTGACGCTGGCGTGAGTCGAGAATACTGAGGAACTGAGGGCTCAAAGAGGTAATTTTCGACTCTGATATATCTAGCAATATCCTGGAAGACATTGGCACAGGGAAAAATACGTTAGAGCGAAGATTACTCACGCTAGTGTTCACAAGGCCAATTGTTAGATCAGGACTGTTGATTCCAGCAAACGCCCCTCCAGAGAGAGCCTCCACCGAACTTCCTCGAACAGTGAGACTCCTGAGGCGAGGATAGAAGGCAGGATGAAGTTGGTCATGAACCTCTCTGTCAGTTAAATCAATGTCCACCACCTCGAGGCCTGGATGACCCTCCAAGATGCCTCGCACGTCCAGAACCGCGAGCACAGGCAGTGTGTGTAGGTACACCTCTCTCAGGGAACGAAGAGGACTCAGAGCCAGACGTTCGACTCTGTTCGCGCGGGGAAGATAAGCGGCCCGCAGAACTTCAAGATTACTCAGGTAGTTGAAGTCGCCACGGACAATATAAGCCAGAGGGTTGTGTGAGATGTCCAGCTTGCGGAGGTCTGGGATCTTGGGCCAGGCCACAGCGAGCCCGTAGCTCAGGTTGGGTATCTGGTTTTTAGATATGTCTAACTCTTGCAGGTTCTGAGTCAGTTCAAAGGATGATTCTTTAACTTCAATAATATTGTTGTCAGAAAGATTGAGATAAATGAGGAAGCGTGCTTCGATGACTGGAACATCTGTGACGTTGGTGCCTGCAAGGTTAAGGCGTCGGACTGTCTTGGGTTCATTCAACAAGATATAAATAGCTTCTGGAGTCAGTGGGTTGTACGACAAGTCCAACGTCTTAATGTTTACCAGAATATCAGCGTTGCTTGGCACGTTAGTGATCTTGTTGTGGGCCATGTTGAGGTCACTGAGGAAGAAGTACTGTTGGCGGAGAGTATTCACGGGCACTTGTTCAAATCTGTTATGAGCCAGATTCACCGATTGAAGCTTCTGGATTTTAGTTCTCTGGAAGATCATTTCCGGGAGGGTGGACAGCTTGTTGTGACTCAGATCCAGGTGAAGCCGAGCGATTCCCAAAAATACGTTTTCCGGCAGTTCCGCAATTTTGTTGTGGCTCAGATCGAGGGTCTGGAGCTGGGTCGAGTTTTGGAAAGCGGTCTCGGCCACTGACTCTATCACATTGTTCCGTAAGTTGAGCTCCCGGAGGTGTGGAGCGTTGGAGAAGTCATTACTTTCCAGAGTTTTGATCTGGTTGCTCTCAACGTCCAGGTGTTCCAGGTCGGCCAGGTCACGGACAATCTCCGGCTGGAAGAAAGACAGACGGTTGTGAGACAAACTGAGCCAGTTGAGCTTGGAGTGGAGTTGGAATGCTAGCGGCTGGAGGAAAGTAATGTCATTGTGGCTCAAATCCAGAATCCTTAACTCTGTTTCTTCGGCTGGAATGGTAAGTTTGAAGTACTCTTTTTTGAAGGATGGCAGCATGTTATTGTTGAGGCGAAGGATGTGCAAGAGAGCGATATTGAGGAAGGCTGCGTCGCTGATACTCCTGATGGTGTTGTAACTGAGGTCCAGAGTGTGGAGGAAGAGGAGGTCCTTGAAGGCTTCACTCGGAATCTCTTTAATCTCATTGTGCTGAAGGTTAATGACATTGATGAAGGACTCGTTGAACTGCCCCGGCCTAATCTCTGCAATTTGGTTCAAACTGAGATCGAGGGTTGAAAGCTTTTTCACCGGATGGAGTAGAGTGACAGGAAGGGAGGACAAGTGATTTTCGCTCAGATCCAACATCTTCAGCTCCGGTAGAAGGACGAAGGCATCCGACGGCAGACTGGTAATGTTATTCTTCGACAAGACGAGAGTGTTCAGCAGAGGAAAGTCGAACTGTGGGAGCTCGCTCAGGAGATTCAGACCCAGATTGAGTTCTTTTAAACTATCTCGCAGACCAATTAAGCTTTCCGGAACGAGGTTCTGGAGCTGGTTCCCGTAAAGATTCAAGCTTTCCAGGTCTGTGAAGTTAGAGAAGGTTCCCTGAGGCAGCTCCCTGATGATGTTGTGAGCGATGGAGAGGCGGAAAAGACCGATGACGGTCTGGAGGCTGGTAGCGGAGATGACCCCGACACGGTTGTAGTCCAAGCTCAGGAACGTCAGTGTCCGCACCTGTGGAAAGAGGACCAGTTAGTAATATCACTGTGGCTCAAATCCAGAGGACAGATTCACGCAGCAGTTACGCAAGCACTTACGAACGTGTACATCTTTCCTCAATCTTTGACGGCTTTGGTTACATTTATTAAACAGTTTGCAAGCATGAAAACTTGCCAATCAACTGTTGTTATTGTTATAAACAGCCTCCTGGTGCTTCAGAGCTTATTAACTGTTTAATAATTATAAACAAAGCCGCCACAGATTGAGAAAAGGTTCGTAAGTGCTTGCGTAACTCCTTTCGTGAATCTGGCCCCAGGATCCTTAACTCTGTTTCTTCGGCTGGAATTCTTCGGCGACGCAGCCTTGATGTGACTTTCTTAGTACATGTCTTGTTATATTTCCACAGTAGTGGGCATCCATCAGTCTCAGGAGACTATGGAGTTGTGCTCTGGTTGTTGGTCTGGAGTGGCCTCACCAGGGCGCAAAGCCAGGGTAGGTTAAGTGTACGTTTACTTTTACACAAGTGTAAAGTGTTTACACTTACACAAGTGTAAGTGAAAACACATTGACCAACCAGCAAGTATAATTTAGTCCTGTACATTATGACATCCTGAGAGTATTAATTATTATGTTTCTGGTTAATTATTTTCTTTACGTTGTTAAGAGGTGTGTATTTGATATTTTTATATTTACTATTTATGTCTGCAGAATCGATGTATTAGCTCTTGGACCCCGCCTTTCTAACTAGTTTATTTTCCTCTATTATGTCTACTACATATATTTCTCTTACACACGCGAACACACAGACATCCCCAGGAAGCAGCCCATAGCAGCTGTCTAACTCCCAGATACCTATTAACTGGTAGGTGAACAGGGGCATCAGGGTCAAACAAATTCTGCCCATTTATTTCTGCCTCTGCCGAGGATCGAACCCGGGCACTTTGGATTATGACCCTAGAGCTTTGTCCACTCAGACGTGAAGCCCCCCCTGTGTGTGTGTGTGTGTGTAATTACCTAAATGTAGTTACAGGATGAGAGCTACGCTCGTGGTGTCCCGTCTTCCCAGCACTCTTTGTCATATAACGCTTTGAAACTACTGAGGTCTTGGCCTCCACCACCTTCTCCCCTAACTTGTTCCAACCGTCTACCACTCTGTTTGCGAACAGAGAGTGTGTATGTGTGTGTGTGTGTGTGTGTGTGTGTGTGTGTGTGTGTGTGTGTGTGTGTGTGTGTGTGTGTGTGTGTGTGTGTGTGTGTGTGTGTGTGTGTGTGTGTGTATGTGTGTGTGTGTGTGTCCCACCTACACATTTGACACAACATGTAGCCCAAGAAGGCGCACAAAGCAGGAACCAGTGACCCCTCCCTACCTTGGCCAGAGCCGTCCAGGGTATAGCCAGAATGTTGTCGTCGTCCAGCTGAAGGGTCTCCAGCGACGTGAGTCCCTCGAACGCGTCCTCCTCCACCTGTAGCAACAACAATATGTTAAGACATGCATTTTCAGCGCAGTCTGCCCTCCTAAGGTTCCCCAACGTCAAAGAAAACGGTCAATTTAAAGTAGTCTCTCCTAACCTTCCAGAGGCTCCAAAAAACAGAAAACGGGGCAGAATGTCACTTTCGCCAACCGCTTCCATTTAATAGTACGACAATTTTTGGCCTTATGTGACGCATACGTGCGAAATGCGACGTTCTTTGCACATACAACATACAACATATTATACCACGAACACAATCACATTCAGATGGAACACATCCTTCATGGAGAGAGGGAATGATCAGGGGGAAAGCGCCAAGCCATTACGACTATATAGCACTGGGAAGGGGTCAGGATAAGGATTTGGGATGGGACGGTGGGAAAGGAATGGTGCCCAACCACTTGTGGACGGTCGGGGATTGAACGCCGACCTGCATGAAGGGTGACCGTCGCTCTACCGTCCAGCCTAAGTGGTTGGGCATCATTCTTTTCCAACCTTGTATGTGTTCTATCTAGAACACATACTAGATGGAACACATCCTTGATGGAACACATCCTAGATGGAACACATCCTAGATGGAACACATCCTAGATGGAACACATCCTAGATGGAACACATCCTAGATGGAACACATCCTAGATGGAACACATCCTTGATGGAACACACCCCAGATGGAACACATCCTAGATAGAACATCCTAGATGGAACACATCCAAGATAGAACATCCTAGATGGAACACATCCTAGATGGAACACATCCTAGATGGAACACATCCTAGATAGAACATCCTAGATGGAACACATCCTAGATAGAACATCCTAGATGGAACACATCCTAGATGGAACACATCCTAGATGGAACACATCCTAGATGGAACACATCCTAGACAGAACACATCCTAGATGGCCCGCATACTAAAACAGGTTCCCACCAGCCCCTCTCCCTCCCTCCCCTCCCTCCCAGTTCCAGCCACTGACCTTCCTGATGGAGTTCACGCCGAGCATTAGGGACTTGAGACCGGAGAGTTGCCTGAAGGTGCCTGTAGGAAGCTCCCCGATGTTGTTCCTCGTCAGATCTAACTGCTCCAGGCTCACCATGGGCCCCAGAGCCACCACGCCCCCTAAGGTCTGAAGAACAGGTGTATTAGAGATGGAGAAAGATAGATATAACCCCCCAAAAAAGATACTTGAGAAGGAAAAAAGATATACTTACTTGGATAAGGTTATCGTGAAGAACCAGAGTTCTTAGCTTGGTTAGGTCCTTGAGGGCGTTGGCTGGTATTTCTGGCAGGAAGTTTGAGGACAAGTCCAGCTCCTCCAGCTTGGCTAGGCCCCTGAGAGCGCCGCCACGCAGACCAGAGAGTCTGCAACAGTTGTAAGACCCTGTCATTATACTCATCATACTACAGTGTTGTTATTATTCATAATAATAATGATTAGATTTTAGTATCCTTTATCAACAACCTCTACATTCTTATCATTATCCCATTTCCCATTCTCAAATCATCATACTCAGGGGCACAGTGAATCATCATCACCATACACAGGATTACAGTGAACTAGCCTCACCATACACAGGGTCATAGTGAACTAGCCTCACCATACACAGGGTCATAGTGAACTAGCCTCACCATACACAGGGTCATAGTGAACTAGCCTCACCATACACAGGATCACAGTGAACAAGCCTCACCATACACAGGATCACAGTGAACAAGCCTCACCATACACAGGATCACAGTGAACAAGCCTCACCATACACAGGATCACAGTGAACAAGCCTCACCATACACAGGATCACAGTGAACTAGCCTCACCATACACAGGGTCATAGTGAACTAGCCTCACCATACACAGGGTCATAGTGAACTAGCCTCACCATACACAGGATTACAGTGAACTAGCCTCACCATACACAGGGTCATAGTGAACTAGCCTCACCATACACAGGATCACAGTGAACTAGCCTCACCATACACAGGATTACAGTGAACTAGCCTCACCATACACAGGGTCATAGTGAACTAGCCTCACCATACACAGGGTCATAGTGAACTAGCCTCACCATACACAGGGTCATAGTGAACTAGCCTCACCATACACAGGGTCACAGTGAACTAGCCTCACCATACACAGGATTACAGTGAACTAGCCTCACCATACACAGGGTCATAGTGAACTAGCCTCACCATACACAGGATCACAGTGAACTAGCCTCACCATACACAGGATTACAGTGAACTAGCCTCACCATACACAGGGTCATAGTGAACTAGCCTCACCATACACAGGATCACAGTGAACTAGCCTCACCATACACAGGATCACAGTGAACTGACCTCACTATACACAGGGTCACATAAAATGATTACATTCCTTGTTTTAGAAGTGACTGTATTAACAAACTTTGGTTATGCCATCTGTCTCCCAGAAGACAGACTTCGACTCTGGCCTAGTTCCTTACAAGATATCCTGGTCTTAAAGCTCAAACTGCTGTTTACCTTTATCATATCACTTCACACAGTCCAACTATGTCACCTCTAATCAACAATTCTTTTCCAGTTGCTGAAGACTTACTGCGTTGGAGCAACTCATCCACTACACGTTACTAAGGTGAGTGTAAGATGATGGCTTGTTCTGGGTCAAACCACAATACACAGGAATTAATATGATTACAGTAATTGACACAAATATGACACTGACCTGGTTGTAGATCAAGGGGTTAAGGGAGGTTATAGAGCCTTTGGCACCCACCTGTTGAAGGAGAGGTCGAGGGTAGCCAGTTCGGTGAGTTCGATGAAGGCATCGTCTTCGATGTTGACCAGTCGGTTGTGTGAGACGTTGAGGAACACGAGGTACGCCACCTCTGCCAGCGAGGACTTCTTGATCGTCTCTGTAAGGTCAGGGAAGGACATTACTTCTGTGGCAGGAGTATTGATTAGCGAAAGAATCTTCTAGAGATATAGGAACAAGTGGTCCAGGAAACCCCAAAGGAATCCTCCAGAAATATAGGAACAAGTGGCCCCAGAAAACCCAAAGTAATCCTCCAAAGATATAGGAACAAGTAACCCAGGAAACCCAAAGGAATCCTCCAGAGATATAGGAACAAGTAGCCCAGGAAACCCAAAGGAATCCTCCAGAAATATAGGAACAAGTAGCCCAGGAAACCCAAAGGAATCCTCCAGAAATATAGGATCAAGTCCTCCAGGAAATCCGAAGAAGATTCCAGATTACAAGGACCAGTGACTCATGCCAACATTTTAGCAAGGTCATACTCACCAATGTCATTCTCCTGGAGAGTGAGGACCTTGAGGCTCTGGAGGCCGCGGAGGGGAGCAGAGGGCATCGTCAGGAGGCTGTTGCCCTCCAAGTGTAGGACCTCCAGGTCTTTTAGAGAGGTCAGGAGTCCTGTGTCAACTTCCCGGATGTGGTTGTACCCTAGATTAAGTGTCTGAAAAATGTAACGCAATTGTATAAAAAATAATGATGATTTCAGCCAATATACTAAATGCTAGAATAGATGTAGTTCTATGCAATAGATCGACTAGATGCAAATAATAGATGTTGTGGCATACAATTGATAGAAGGTGTATATGAAGTCAGTAATCTCCCTAGTTCAGTTTTTATCTGCTATCCTACTTTTTCTTGTCAATTCTGCTATCCTCCTATTCTCTCGTTATCTCTCTCTCTCTCACTCACTTGAAGGGCAGTAAGCTTGGCGATCTCGGGGGAGGCGAAGACGGGGTTGTAGTTGCTCCCAAGGAGGTTATGGTCGAGGTTGAGCTCGAGCAGGTGGTTCTCCAGGCCCTCCAGCACGTCCTTGGTCAGTCGCCGGATCCCATTCCTCGAGAAGTCCACCTGGATTATAAGATTGAATAACATTTATATCAATGTAATATACGGATATACGGCACTGAAATTCTCAACCACTTCGAGACAGGATATATAATGTATATATACTGTGTATGAAAACTCACACCCCAGAAGTGACTCGAACCCATACTCCCAGGAGCAACGCAACTGGTATCTACAGGACGCCTTAATCCGCTTGACCATCACGACCGGACATTCTTCTGGGGTGTGAGTTTTCAGTCGCATATAGTCCTGGGGACCATTCAGGCTTGTTCGCATACTGTGTATATATGCACATTAAAAGTGCCCACTTAGTATTCAGTGGGCACTTGTGGTGGCCTAAGAAACCTTTCTTAAGGTGATAGACCCTAAGACCAACACACACAAATATATATATCAATCAAAATGAGAAATCATGAATCTTAAATGTGTTCAGATTGACAACTGAGAGAGACTCGGTGGCTGGCACTCCTCCAGGACCTTTGGCACCTGTGCCAGTGGTGAGGAGTGCCAAGTAGGACGTACCTTTCTGAGAGGCAGGTCAGATGCGGTGAACAGCTGACCTCTCAAGGCCTGTATGCCGGCGTTCCTCTGGGTGAACTCTACGATGTTCATCCTTGTATATGGAAGAAGGTCAAGATGAATCATTAATTTTTAAGACGCAGGTTCGATCCCATCGTATTTCCATCAATGATATACTATACATTTTTATCATTTCATTATGCAGTTTAATGATATATACAACAAATAATATGATATACTGAATATGTTGACCAGACCACACACTAGAAGGTGAAGGGACGACGAGGTTTCGGTCCGTCCTGGACCATTCACAATCGACTTGAGACTGGTCCAGGACGGACCGAAACGTCGTCGTCCCTTCACCTTCTAGTGTGTGGTCTGGTCAACATACTTCAGCCACGTTATTGTGACTCCTCGCCTGCATATATTGCATCACCAGTGACATAATGAGTATCAAAAGACCGTTCTTACTTGAAGGGCAAGAGAGGGAAGTCTCCCGGAAAGGCCACGTTGTCGCAGTTGATGGAGATATTGAGGTCCTGCGTGTCGCAGAGGCAAGGGAGGGTGAGTCTGTCGCTGACTTCTACACACGGCACGAGGCCCTTCACCATCCCCACCATCATCGTCACTGTCACCATCACCACCACCACCATCATCCCCGCTAGCGACGCCGCCTTCATGCCTGTCAGGGATGGAGGGAAACGTGAATGGTTGTAAGACTTGTTTGGTGGCATTTTGGTCGGTTATAATGTTTGTACAGGTTGGTGAAGCAACGCTTGCTTTATACACACACACACACACACACACACACACACACACACACACACTACAGTTTCACAGTTTCAAATGTAGATATGACAGAGCCCAATAGGCTCAGGAACCTGTCCACCAGTTGATTGACAGTTGAGAGACGGGATCAAAGAGCCAGAGCTCAACCCCTGCAAACACAATTAGGTGAGTACACACATGACACAAAGAGTGCTGGGAAGACGGGACACCACAAGCGTAGCTCTCATCCTGTAACTACACTTAAGCAATTACACTAAGGTAATTACGCTTGGGTAATTACACACACACACACACACAATTAGTTTCCACCTACCTACTCCCTTCTCAGGACACGCTTCACACCACCCCCCCTTCCTTAATAACCCCCCCTTCCCCGTCCTCCCTACCACCCCCTACCCTATCACCTCCCTTCCCCTAACATTGACCTTAACCTCTGAGGGAAGACGGAAGCAGAACCGTGAGAGAGAGAGAGAGAGAGAGAGAGAGAGAGAGAGAGAGAGAGAGAGAGAGAGAGAGAGAGAGAGAGAGATAGAGAGAAAGAGACAGACAGACAGACAGACAGACAGACAGACAGACAGACAGACAGACAGACAGACAGACAGACAGAGAGACAGACAGACAGACAGGCAGACAGACAGAGATGATATAAGTGAATAAGTAAACGAGGAGAAAGATATATGCTAGACCAGAGAGAAAGAAATTAGATATAAGTCAACTTATCCCCCAACGAACAACAAACAGAATAACTGATAAGCAACAGAAACGAAGCAAGGAATAGAGAATGATAACGATAAAGCCCAGGTACGGCCACAACCGAGAATAAATGAAAAAAATTAGTCAGGAAAAAGGAATAATGAACGCCATTTAGAGATACAAGAACCAGAGTGATGATAGGAAATATTAGCAAGAAATATTAACAGACAAGGAGGTAGGAGTAACGGTAAGAGATAACAGGGAGATAGGAGTAACGGTGAGAGATAACAGGGAGGTAAGAACAACGGTAAGAGATACACAGCAACAAACAGTAGACACCGTTGGTAGGGAGAATGTGTGGATATAATCCAGGATACTTAGATTCTAGGGGGACCCCTGAGGCACAGGAGCTGATTTGGGTGGCACAGGAGCTGATTTTGGTGGCACAGGAGCTGATTTGACTCTCCACTCAGCAGTGGAGAGATTATATAAACATGTAGCTCATGTGTAGTGAAGCTCTCGGCCCCTGACCTTCGCCTGAGGGAGGCTGGGAGTCCTTGCTAACGTATATATAATATATAATATAATAATAATATAATATATATAATATATAATATTATATATATATATATATATATATATATATATATATATATATATATATATATATATATATATATATATATATATACAAATGAAACAATATCACTCTTAATAGTAAAGTTCATTTCTTTCTACTTCTTCACTCTATCGTCCACCAAATCTCAACCAATCAGCTGCAGCGACCAGTTACACAAACACCTAAAAACTGAACTCCATTAACGTTATTTTATTGGACCAATCAGCGGCAAGTGGCAGATGCTCTTGACCAATCACGTTTGCTCATAAAGCAAAAAGGTAAACATTACTCCGCTTACGTCATAGTGTAGGATTAGTTTTCTCTGTGTATGATTGACAGGTCATAATTGTCATGTTATGATTGGTAATGACTGACTCAACTTAACTGGACATGACTTGCTAGACATATGAATAACTGGACTTGAGGCTATTCATATATACAGATACATATACCTTGATATACAAAGATATGGTCCGATAAATGGCTTGTAGAGTTCAATGGCAGTATGTGCAAGTCGATGGAAATGGAAACAGTAGGCAGGAAACCAACAGGGCAGCATACAATGAAGGAAATGACCTCCTGGAAGGAGACATGACACCAAGCCTTATGCCAGCAGCATAATGCCAGCAGCATAATGCCAGCAGCATAATGCTAGCAGCATTATGCCAGCAGCATAATGCCAGCAGCATAATGCCAGCAGCATAATGCCAGCAGCATAATGCTAGCAGCATTATGCCAGCAGCATAATGCCAGCAGCATAATGCCAGCAGCATAATGCCAGCAGCATAATGCCAGCAGCATAATGCCAGCAGCATTATGCTAGCAGCATTATGCCAGCAGCATACTAACATCTGGCAAACATCAACACCTCAATAAGGAGATATTCTGACCACTGCACACCACATACGTGAGACCAGTACCAGAGTATGAAGCGACGACATGGAGACCCAACCTCAAAAGAACAAGGTATAAAGGTATAAAGGTACAAAGGTAGGCAATGAGACTCATTATAAAACTACACTGGATCGGGCAAGAGGTAAAGATGCCCTGAAGGAGGCATCTCAATTGAGAAGAGGTTCTGTTTGCAATGTTGAGGACCCACTATTCATGCTCCAGTAAGCTTCATGGTTGGTAGTGTAAACTGCTGCCCCAGCAGAACCTCTTTCTTGATCAACTGATCCGTCTGTGAAGATGTGAGTCATTGTGGGTCTTGAGATGGTTTCCATTTGTTGTTCTATGATTTCCTTCAGCCTCTGGGAGTCACATGCTGATTTTTTAACTGGTAATCCTTCAGTGATTATCTTTAGACTAGATTCTTCCCATGGCGGAGGCTGCCGAAAGTGTTGATATGGTCTATCTTCTCCTTTATTTTTAATAGACAATTTCAAGTCCACTTTCTCTAGAATCTTGACCAGATTATCCGTCTATATTGAAGGTTTCTGTGAAGCGATCTGTGTATGCTGTCTTTGAATGACAGTCTGGCGGTGGTTCCAACAAGTGTTGTTGTTATGGTGGCTATCCTTTGTTAGATCCTGTTTTCTAAAACTGGCAAGTTGGTTTCCATTCTTAGATTCTCTAGACGCGTCCATATAGATGCTCCCAGCATTGTTCTGAGGGCATCATTCTTAGTGTAAGATTAGACTAGCAAATATAAATAATTTAGGTCAGGTGTGTAGATTGACTGGGCCCAAGAGCTGAAGCTCAAGTTCTATAAGTACTCAAGGATAAAGAGGTGAGACCTTGCACCTCAACAGTGCTTCTTTTCTCTCACATCATGTCATATTTTTTTAACGGAATTGACCAATCCGTAAAAATTGCGACGAATTTTTTAAAAATTCAAACACCGCCATGCTGACGTTTTCTATGCCTCAGCCTCGATAGGTTAGGGGGATGGTTGGGTTCGTACGTTACTGGGTAGGTAATACAGTTTGATGTTTATAATGAGACAAAACAGTTGTATATTTGACGGAGTGACAAATTGAGAGAACAAACCGTGTTCTAACCAATCACATTCTTTGAACAGCCTAATTAGCACCGGAAACGAGGCCCAATCATAGGCCGTGAGAACATCTTACACCACAATGAGTAATTAACTCCCAATCACCATCATTGTTACCGAGGCTGTCTTCCGCCGCCTCCAATCACCGGAGACCAAGATCCAGATGGTGACCCGGAGCTCGCTAGCTGGTAAACCAATTCGCAAGGGCCGTGACGAGGATTCGAACCTGCGTCCGGGAGCATCCCAGACGCTGCCTTAATCGACTGAGCTTTGTTCATTTGATGCATCACGGAATTGTGATTTCTGTGTGTTAGCTGGTGTTATACCCGGGTCGTGTTCTCGTGTTATGCCCTTATCAAGGCCCGGTTTCTACGACTTGATAAGGTCCAGGACCTAAGGAACGTTGCAAATCACTGAGTTGACCTGAAGAAGGCTGACGCGAAGGTCTTCACTCTAAGCATCGTGTGCAACACTGGCTCTCCTGCATGCAGCTAATGCTTGCAATTCTTGTCTCAAAAACAACGATTTGAAACTTGGAAAACAAAGTTTAGAGATATTCTGCAAAGTTTCATTCTGAATCGAGAAGACACAGTGAACAGGGCACCTCCTGGAAGGACCTTTTACCCCCCTGGAAGGAAACTCCCACAACTATGCTGGAAAATAGGAGCCCAAGTGGTGACATGATCACGACATGTAAGATTGCCAACGAGGCAAGATGAGTGGACATGGATGGTAACGAGAGACTCAGGAACAACCTTGTGTAGTTTAAGAGTAGTGAGCAAGTCGAAAGAGTTGAAGCAGTTGAAGCAACCTTGGAAACACAAACCGAAACTGTCTCTATTTTCCGCTTGTTTCAACTTGTAATAAAGTTGTTACATCTTGGCTTAACGTGTTTATGACGTATTAGAACGTTGTTACAACTTGCTATATTGGTTATTATAACTGGTTAGGAAGTGTTAAAACTTGTTCGAACGTTGTACCAACGTCGTAGTTTCGGTGTGTGTTTAGCGGGAACTTCTTTACATAGTTTCAAGAACAGGTATGATAGCAAGCAAGATAGCCAAAATACCATTGCAATAGACGAACAGAGAGGCGGGACCCAGGAGATAAGACTCGCGCTATGTCCCCCGAAGTATACAACCATTAGTACTAGCATGGGGGCCCATACTAACGACTGAATAGTCACATAACTGTTGTAATTGCGGAAGGAGTAGTTAGCTGCCTCGGAACTTCGAAAATGGCCACAGAAAAGGTGAGAGAGAGAGAGAGAGAGAAGAGAGAGAGAGAGAGAGAGAGAGAGAGAGAGAGAGAGAGAGAGAGAGAGAGAGAGAGAGAGAGAGAGAGAGAGAGAGAGAGAGAGAGAGAGAGAGAGAGAGAGAGGAGAGAGAGAGAGGAGAGAGAGAGAGAGAGAGAGAGAGACAGAGACAGAGACAGAGAGAGACAGAGAGAGAGAGAGAGAGAGAGAGAGAGAGAGAGAGAGAGAGAGAGAGAGAGAGAGAGAGAGAGAGAGAGAGAGAGAGAGAGAGAGAGAGAGAGACAGAGAGAGAGAGAGAGAGAGAGAGAGAGAGAGAGAGAGAGAGAG